CCCTACCCCATCCTGGTTCCCTCACTTCTTTTCTTCTGGAGCACTCCTCCAATAAAGCAGATGCCCCAGATCACATGCAGAAAGTAGGGGATGGGAAAATGTATGCAAAGTCCCTGGTGCATAGTAGGTGGTCTATAAATGCTACTTCCCATCCCCCACATAGTTATAAAACTAAGGATAGAACCATTTGCTCATACAGGCATTCATCACTATATCATTTAAAAGAGAACAAAACTGGAAATAAGTATCTAATAATAGGAATTTATAGGTAATCCGTAGTATATCCTATGATAGAATATGATGTAGTCTCCAAGCTAAAAAGAAAAACATGGCAAAGGGAAGTAAAGATATAGGAAGCTATTTAATTTATGAAATAATACTACCATGTCCTACCATATACCGAGAGTGGGGCCAGCTCTGAATGTTCTAGCAAACAGAAAGAACAAAGCCTAGTCACAAGGATGACTGGGCCCACAGGTAAAAATAAAAAAAGCCAAAGTGTTCAGAAAAGGCATAGCTATTCCTAATTTTGAGACCAGAGAGAAATTTCTCCGATGGGTCCTAAGGGAGAGCAATCTGTGCAATGTAATGACCTGATCACAACCGCATCCTTTCAGTTACCATAGAGATGAGTTTCACAGGTCTGGTCCCTGAGTAAATTCTTCTCCCCTCTTCCTCCCCACCCCCACCCCTCTAGGAAGATGGCATCACAGCGCAGGAAATTCTGTAAAAGAGATTCTGTGCATAGCCAGAGATACCGGAACCCTGCAGATACTTGGTTCTCTCTTGACAGGGCTTAAACCAGGGACAAGTTTTAGCAGGTAGAAGGTGGAAGGCAAGCATGCCCTTCTCGCCTCCTTCTTGATTACTTTTGGGGCCTCCCCCAACCCTGAAGCTCCTAAAAACTATTAAGCAGCAGAGAGCTTGAGATGACCTCTTAGAAAGTTCTTAGAACACTGCCATTCTAGATGGCTCTATATGCTTCAGCTGCCTCCTAAGCTGGGTAAGGTTGGCACAATCCTGCCAAACCTATTGAGTCTGGCAGGATATGGGCCTGAATAGAAATAAGGCTGCCCACCGGTTCAAAGGTACACCCAGTGGTCATCTGTGGGCAGGGCAATGGTTTTCCTCAGAAAGTAATTTTGGTTCTGTTTTAACCATTCAGACATCAAGGCACTGGAGTTCGAGGCTGTAGACATTATAAAAAGCTGCAAAAATCCCCATCAGAACAGTTGTCAACAATTAGAGCAACCACGGGGTAGAATGAGGTCTGCTTAAATCGCTCGCTCTTCCCGCTGTCTGCTGAGGAAGCCTGCTCTTTCTTCCCAAGGTGGTTGGTTCATTGAGGTGGATTACCCTGAGTCACGCTACTTAAACTTCAATTCATTCACATAAATTAATTCGCTCTAAAAAATCCACTCAACTCATGGAAATAATTTAATTTCCTCAATTCATTCAAGTATGTCAGGGATAAATAAATACGCCAAAGCACAGGCTGACGTACATGACCCTCTAATAGAAAACATTGAGTGCATCACTGGTGATAACAACTGTAATAAACAGCAATCTGTCCTCATCTCTTATCTTGTTTTTCACAACTACTGACCTAAAACTGGAACTCTCCAGAACACGTGTGTGCTGGAGACAGTGATTGTATTATCTCGGAGAAGGGGCCCTAAAACTGTAGGGAGAGGGTTTCACAAAAGAGAAGGGATGGGAGACAATGTAAGATACCAGTGCTGCTCTGACGCTCTGCAGGTATTTACGGTTTCTTCTTTGGCTGTACCAACAGACTTTCTAAGTCCAGGAGGAAAAAACTTCGAAGAGTTCCAAATGATGCTCCACATAACAAAATAATCTTTGCAGAATCACTGCGTAGCCCAAGCTAAGATGAAAGTCAGCAAATGCACTAGATGGAACAAAAGCTCCCTTTTGGGGGTACCCTTCTTACCTTCTGCCACATGTTGATAAAGAAGAGCTCTCGGGAAACGTTGAAGGACACATTGGCATCATAGGCATCGTCCCCGAGGTTGGAGATGGAGATATTCAGGGAGATATTCTTCACAGCCCCCAAAGCTAGATATGGGGTTTTCTCATCAATGCTGCAATGCAAAAGAAACAGCAATTAATGCCCTGAAGCTTTCAGCTTTCACTGATATAACATGAGCCATCACGAGGTAGCTGAGGGTAGGGGGCAGAAGCTCCACCAGAATTAGAACTGCAAGTTCCAAGAAGCTCATGAACCAGCCATGCGTCCTTGAGCAATCAGCTCCCATAAGCCTCAGTTTCTTCATCTAAGCACAGGAGGATTCATTAGGCTGTTCTGTGGCTCACATGAAATTCTGTACATCGAACTTAGAAAATTAGGACATTTCATAAGCTAGACACGGAATCTGGTGAGACGTTAATTCATTCAATTATTTTTGAGCACCTCCTACCTGTTCATCGCTACTACTCTATGTGCTAGAGAAAGAGAAGATTAACAAAATAGATTTCTGTCTTCTTAGAGTCTTAGCTTCAAGGAGACAGAAATCACAGACACAAAGAAATAAACACGCAGGTCAGACTGTGACGAGAACTATGAAGATAACATACAAAGGGTATGAAGGATAGAGAGAGCCAGATCTGGAGGGAGAGAGTAGGCTGCAGTTTTAAGTAGGGTGGTCAGGGAAGCCTCAATGATGAGGTGACCTCTTGGCAGAAACTTGAAGGAAGAAAGGGAATGAGATAAAAAGATATCTGGGAACAAGCAAAGAAAAAGTCATGCCTGGCATGTTCAAGGACTGGCAAGGAAGCCAGTGTGGCTGAGAGGAGTGAGCGGGAAGGAGAGTGGAAGGAAATGGGCTTAGGGCGGTGACGGCAGTGGGAGCAAGCAGATCACGTAGTGCTTTGCTGGGCCATCTGAAGGACCTTGGGTTGACTTTGAGATGGAGCCCCTGCCGGGCTCTGAGTGGAGGAGTTGCATGACCTGACTTCTGTATTTAAAGGCTCACACTGGCTATGATGTGAATGGTCTGTGGAGTGCGTGGTCAGCGGGGAAGCAGGAAACCTGGTTAGGGAGCTCTTGCAATAATCCAGGTTTGACAGGATCGCCCACCAGACCATAGCAGAAGTTGTGGAGGGGAGAAGTGGTCATCCTCTGGATATGTTTCAAAGGTTATGCCAACAGATTTTGCCCGTGGATGGGATGAGGGGTGTTAGGGAAAG